AGTATTCGGGCTGCATACCGCTAAGTCGAATCTTCGGAAAATCATAACTTCATCATACGAAGTCAGATTTTGGCGTTTTTTTATGCACGCTCTCGGTTTAACGAACTCTACCACATTCATTTATATCACTAAGGATAAATATCACTCTAACGTAAATTCACTTTTTACGTCATTCAGCGTCGTGTCGATTCTGTCGCGAAACTTCGACAGCTCATAACTTCTTCGTTATAACTCGGATTTCAACGTTCTTTATATGTACGGAATCCTTGTAACATATACTATAAATTATTTAAGATTAATCATTCTAAATAATCTTTCATCAAAAAGTTATTTTTGACGCTTATCGTCTCTAAATTGACTAGCCCTGATCTACGGGCGTTACATATTCGAGCTAGTCAATTTAGAGACAATGAGCGTCAAAAATGACTTTTTGATGACAGATTATTTAGAAGGAGCAATCTTAACCAAGTTATAGTATATGTCACAAGGGGTCCATACATATAAAGAACGCTGAAATCCGAGTTATAACGAAGAGGTTATGTCTCGTTAAAGTTTTAAAGCAAAACCGACACGGCACTGTGTAATGTAAAAGGTGAATTTTTGATAAACTACTTTTTAGCCTTTGAGATATAAATGAAAGTTGTAGTATACGTTAAACCGAGAGCGTGCATAAAAAGAACGCCCAAATCTGACTTCATATGAGGAAGTTATGATTTTTCTAAGATTTGGTATAGCAGTGCCCAACCCGAAATTCAAATTTTAGATCGATCGGTTTTTGGCCAACGCAACCTAAATGAGAATTGAAGATCCCATTAATAAGAGCTTAACAATAAAAAGACAGACAAAAACAAACTTCGTTTGTAGAAGTTATGAATTTTACGCAGTCATTTAACTGTATAATCTTCTCATACTGTTAAATTTAAAATTGGTCGAGAATTAGCTGATGGAGTCAAAAGAAAAGTTGTAGATCCTGTCTGTACCTACGCGTTGTTATGAAGAACATCTAAACGGAGTTCGTATGCAAAAGATATGAATTTTTAAATATTGGTTGGTTTACCTACGTCTGGCGCCACGTGTCAGCGCCAGACTTCGCCTTAGAGCCTACGCAAGGCTCATGACGTGACACCCTTTTTCACAACGTGAATCGACCTAGAGATCCTATAAATAGAGACATAAATCACCCCAAAACTCACACCTTTCATACTATTTCTCTCCCATTACCCTCAAACCCTCTCCCCCATCCCTCGCAACCTCTAAGTCCTAGAGGCAAGTCTCGGAATGCTAGAAGGCTGCAAGAAGAAGAGCTTTTGGCTCAGAAAGTTCTTCCCCTGCAGAGCCCGGCTCCTAGCCAAACCCCCATCGTAGGTAAGATATGCTTACCCTACTTTAAGTATAACTTATATTTAAATATAGTATTGTTATTATGATCCTATAAATATAATTTATTAGTAATTCAAAGTCGTTATACTGATTGATCTACTTATGGGGATGATGTTTATGCTTTGATTTAGTGAGGTGTTTAAAGTGATATTTCCAAACAGTATACTTCGTATACCAAACAGACCCTACCTCTGATATGATCCTACCTGGTTATTCCTTACTTGATAGATCATGAAGTAGACTTTGAGTTAATGATGAATCTAGACTAATAATTAGTCGCAATAAAGATTAGACTAAAACTTAGCGATAATAATGCTAGATTTCGTCGAAGGAATATAGAATTGTTAAAAACGAAATGCTGCCCGAGTTTGGAATCATCACTTTAACAAGTGAGTGCATAGTTACTTTCATCTTACACATATATATGAAGTATTTAATATAAATTACATGTTGTGAGTGCATAATTACTTTCATCTTACACATAGATATGAAGTATTTAATATAAATTACATGTTGTGAGTGCATAGTTACTTTCATATTACACATAGATATGAAGAATTAAATATAAATTACATGTTGTGAGTGCATAGTCTCTTTCATCTTACACATAGATATGAAGTATTTAATATAAATTGAGTGCCTAGTTACTTTCATCTTACACATAGATATGGAGTATATTATATAAATTACGTGTTATGTGTGCATATTATCTGTATACTTGTTATCTATGCTGGATGATCAATTTTATACATGTTTTAAATTATTTAAATTGTATATGTATTTTATATCTACATAATATGTTGGGTAAAACATGGGTAGATAAATGATGAGGGATGAAAGCTGATATAGAGGAACATTGGCAGTATGGACATAATGCCCTATAGGTGAACATTAGCAACAATGGACTTAGAACCCTATAGATGAGCATTGGCAGTTGCGCCACAACCTATAGATGTTTTTGATATACCATTTACTCTAAATATCCTAGCAAATGCGCTCTAACGATTATATTGGCAGTTGTGCCTAATAGAGAACATCACAACCCTGACAGTTGCGCTTAATGGATAATATCGGCAGCTGCGCCTCATAGAGAATGTCACAATTCTGGCAGTTGTGCCTAACTGATAATATTGGAAGTTGTGCTTAATAGATAACATTAACAGTTATGTTATTGGCAACTTATGGACTTCGTGCCTATTCCTTTGGACAATCCAGGAATGAATGAATGAAGAATAGTTGATTCTTACGGTAGATCCTTAAGAGTAAAGAAGATAATGAGGATGAGTAATTGGGTTGACTGTTTGATGTTTAAACATAATAACTATGTTATTGTGGGTTGAAAACCCTATATACTCACCAGGTTTCTCAACCTAACCCACTCATTTATTTGTATCACAAGTGTCGATATGAAGCTACTTTACACTGAAAGATTTAAAAGAGACGTAGATCACTAGTGTAAATGAATGTAAGTTCTGTTTATGCTTATGTTTTTGTATTGACGATGACATCCCAATGTTTTGAAAATGAATAAAAATACATTTCTTCGGAAATGCTTTGATAACGTATTTATCATGTTTTTCTGGGAACAAATTCTGCAACATATTTCTTTAAAAGATACTCTGATTTTCAAAATAAAGTATAACAAATCGGTCTTTTCTCAACGTGAAAATAGGGACGTCACACCTGAGCTCAACGGTAGAATCTCAGCAATCGAAACAACTAACACAAACCATCTAATACCAAACAGAGACCATAACCTCCGTAAAACACTCAAATCCATTAAAGTCTGACCAAAACACAAACTGGTGAAAAAGTCAACGGTTAACGCCCTACATGTGGTGTAGATCATAACCTAAGCTTGGTGTAGCTACACTCAACATAACTCCAAAAGAAATTATTGTCGGACCCCTCTACGATACGCACGACGTAACATTGGTCACTTTATCCAAGTTGTTGAGTGCTTAAACCATGAAGAAAATGGTTGATTCTTTATATAATGCTTCAAAGCAAGCACTTAATTGATAAAGTTTCCAACTTTGTCCATTAATAAGCCTCTAACATACAATTCTCTAACCCTAGACCCAAGATAACTCCAAAAGTGTGACAAGCTCCATGTATGGCTCAAAGGGGCAAACATACATTCATATTACCTCAACTTTATGCCTTCCTAAGCTCCAAAAGATGTTCAGGGTGTGGAAACTTAGCTAGATCTAACTTCACTTACACCAAAACAACCACCTTCTTCTTTAAATGACACCAAAGAACACCAAAAACTCAATAAGGATGAAAGGATGCTACTCTAGAGTTTTATGTAGAGGATGGAGGCTAATAAAAATAAAACCCTAGAAGTTAGAGCTTTTAAGTAGGGCCCAAAGCCCAAGACCTAGGGTTTTGAGTTGCATGCAGCGCCACGAAAAGTGTAGATTCAACCTAAGCTCAACGTAGCTTCACCCTACGCTCGGTGTAGCTACGCTTGGCGTAGCTTCAAGCTATGTGCGATGTAAGGCCAAAATCTTGAATTTCAACATTTTACCATAAGACACATACCGAGAAGCAAACATTACATATAAACACTTGCACCTATGAAGAAGATGATCGAGTTGGCAACTATACTTTAGGTTCATTTTTAAGTTTTTTTTAACCTTTTATTTACAATTTGTGTGCAATATGTAAACATTAGTTAAAGTATATATGCGATATGTAAACATGGGTTAAAATATATACAAGATGCAAACGTTGATTTTGTTAATTTTCACGGACAAATTTTCACTTGAAATGTTTACAAATCAAGAGATACATAATCATTGCAGTTTTACATTTTTATCAATCCTGTTTATAAATAAAATATTACAACATAAATTCCAAACAAGAATCTACTGAAAAGCAAGTCAGCTTTCATGGCTAGCTTTGTCTCGTTGCCAAGATATTCGTTAAGTTGTTACCTAAGAAAACATGAAATTTGTTAATATAAGATATTGATTTTCTAATGAAACTTATACCCACTCCGGTTTGAGGGTTTTGCAGACTCATGCAACATACTGTGGACTAAAAAAAATCAAAAAAATCCTTAATGTTCAAGTACATGACGAGTCCGCAAAGGCATGTTACTCCGCAGAAACCCCTATGTGGACTTGATGGTTAGTTTTGGAAATTCTCTGTATTTTTTCATTTTTTTCGTAGTAAAGTTTGTATTTTGGTATTTTTTTTAATTTCTAAAAAAAAATATATGCATATTTTGATATGGAAAGTGAAAACCATCCAAATCAATTATGTGTTGTATCACTATTAAAAAACCACATACTCTACATAGTTTTTATCGCAATCATTAATTCTTAGAAAAGGTAAATAAATTTTTTTTTTTATGTTGTGACTCACATTTTCTTATTCAACAATAATTGACTTTTATACATCTCCTTAAATCCTATCGCTTTCAATGGAGGACATGTGAACAGACACATATATCATCTCTGTCCTCCACACAAAACACCTATATATACCACAAAAGCAGATGGTGTCATATGCTGCTTAAAATATTTCTCCTTTGTCGACATCAATAAGTTTTCCATCAAGAAATCTTGAAGTTGTTGATCAAGAAATCTTGAATGTGAAGCACGATCGATATGCCGATGGATAGTTTCAACAAGAAAGCTCTTGCTTTCATGGAGAAGACGAAGAGATCTCCAGGCTTCATATGCCGGAAAATATGGAAAGTGGGTCGAGATGATCCGAGAAGGGCAATCCACGCTCTCAAAGTCGGGTTTTCATTAACTTTAGTCTCTTTGTTATACCTAATGGAGCCATTGTTCAAAGGGGTCGGTCAAAATGCGATTTGGGCTGTCATGACTGTCGTCGTTGTGCTTGAATTCACTGCTGGTAAGTTATATTTACATATATCTACACACACACACGTACTTATATATTCATAATTTATCGTACTATAATTTCATAGGAGCGACCTTATGCAAAGGATTAAATCGAGGATTTGGGACGCTGTTAGCTGCGTCGTTAGCCTTCATATTCGAGTTTATAGCTAGAGAATACGGGAAGGTTTTTCGTGCTGTTTTTATCGGAGCTTCGATTTTTTTGATTGGTAATACAGATAAAGAAGAATCAACTTATAATCTATTTTTGGTAGTTTTATAGTAAAATATGGAGTTTTTTTTAACTATTACACTTAATTTTCACAGGTACGTCGACTACATTCTTGAGATTTTTCCCTAAAATAAAAAAGAATTATGATTATGGTGTAGTAATATTCCTGTTGACATTTAACTTGATCACTGTATCAAGTTATCGAGTGGATGATATTCTGAAACTAGCCAAAGGGAGGACATATATGATCGGGATCGGTTCCGGGATTTGCATTCTGATGAGTCTTTTCATCTTCCCGAATTGGTCTGGAGAAGATCTCCATAATAATACCATTACCAAAATCGAAGGTTTAGCAAAATCAATCGAAGGTATATATATGTATAGACAATAAATTTGAAAATATTTGCTTTCGTGTGTTTAAAAAGATTACTTATTTGTAGATTGTTTGTAAACAAAATGTAGCTTGTGTCACTGAATACTTCAATGTGGAAGAACCAAATTCAGACATAGACGAGACGATGGAGGATCCGATTTATGAAAATTATAAGGCAGTTTTGGACTCGAAATCGACAGATGAAACCCTTGTAAGCTTTTTTATATCTTAATAATTGAAACTTAACACAAATAACTAATTTGCATGTTATTATCTCATGAGCTAACCAAAGATGTTACGAATGTTGAATACTGATACGAGCAGGCACTCCATGCAAGTTGGGAGCCGAGACACTCAGTGCACTGCCACAAATTCCCGTGTCAACAATATGTAAAATTAGGAGGTGTTCTTCGTCATTTTGGATATGGGGTAGTCGCTCTTCATGGAAGTCTACAAACCGAAATACGGGTATGTTTTTATTCGCCATTATTATGTGATGATTATTGACTCTATATATATACCAAATGGCTAGTTATAGTCTAAAAATTTAGTATATCGATAATTTTTAAGTACAACTTGAGAAAAAATTATTTTTTGTTGAGATCTAATAATATAATGTTCATGAGGGAAGATTCTTTTCCGAACATGTCAGATCCTTAGATTCGTAATATATAATTGAAATGCGAACAAAAAAGAACTCCATTAATGGTAAGGTTGATTTTCGTTATTTAAATATTTATGACCCTAGTGATCCAGATCAAAAAGGTATATATCTCCTTATTATAATAGTTGTCAATAGATGTTATAGATACATTTAATAGTTTGATTTTTTTTTTTATTAATCGCCTTGAAATTGGAATTTCACTACATTTCTAGTACCTAAGTATCGTGTTCTTCTGATTCAAATTTTTAGACTCCAATATCAATTCGATTGCTATTCAAGGATCCATGCATTCGCCTTGCTTCCGAAGTAACAAAAGCCCTAATGGAACTCTCTGGAAGCATAAGAAACCGGCGTCAATGCTCGCCAGAAAATATCACGGAACAAATCCACCAAGCACTGCAAGACCTCGACACTGCATTAAAGTCCCAACCAAGGCTCTTTCTTGGCACAAACAGCCCTTACAATACACCCAAAATGCTAGCCATGCTTACAACAACAGCAAAACAAAAGTTTGAACACCATTTATCGAACATGAACACAGACTCATCAAGTGAGAGAAAACCGAAGGGGGTTTCTGATCAGACCGAAAAGAGGGTTTTAAGGCCAACATTAAGCAAGCTTGCAATCACGAGCTTGGAGTTTTCTGAAGCACTTCCGATTGCGGCTTTTGTGGCCTTGTTGGTTGAATTGGTGGCTAGACTTGATTTTGTGATTGAGGAAGTTGAAAAGTTGGGAAGGGTGGCTTGTTTTAAAGAGTTTAAACATGCTGGTGATGTGGTTGTAGATGTTGAGAGGAGAATGAAAACGGAGATTAACGTTTCTAGCTTTGCAACGGGGGAGTGAATTGCAGAGTATGATGGATATTAATAATTTTTGTATGGTATAAGAATGTTGAGTGTTTGAGACCACCGAGGTAGTAAAAAAAAAAAAAAAACGTAGTTTTGATCATTTTTGGGTGGATTGGTTATGTAGACAATTTGATATAAAAATATATTCGTATTTGTGTTAAGTTTCTATGTGGATATGAATTAATAAATTTTATAATTAGTCAAGTACGAAGTTTTATATTCTATCATATAAGATTATATAAATATTATACATTTCTTTCGTCCAAAATTAACATATAGAGGGATGAATTTGGGTTATAACAACTGATTTGACATTTGTATTTATTTAATTAGTTAATAATTCACCGAATGTTTGGAGAATTTTCAATATAAAACACAAAAAAAGAAGACAGAAAAGGGCCCTACCGGGTTCGAACCGGTGACCTCTTGATCTGCAGTCAAATGCTCTACCACTGAGCTAAGGACCCACTTGTGATGTCATCCGTCAAATATATAATACTTAATAAACGCTTTGTCGGTAGGTTTTTTTTTTTAACTATTACTGCTTTTTGTACCAAAATAAAATTGGCAATTCATGTTGTAATATAAAAAATAAATAAATTTCTTGTCCATCAAAATTTGAATGTGATATTACTCACTGGATTTATTAAAAAAACATTTCATGTATTTTAAATTCAGATAAAAAAATTTGACAATTTGTCAAATATCGGTAATACATGCCAATAAAAACAAATAGATAAATAGCTTGTGGATCCAAATTAATAACTAGTTTTTTGTGTGGCAACAAAAATAGTTCAGTATGATTAACATACTGATTAGCTACCATTACGCGATATTTGTAATTTTATATGTAAACCTTTTTTTGCTATAATAAAAAACTTGCTAAATACTTGATTCCTAATTGATTATTATTTTTAAAGTTATATACTATATACATAATGAAACGATTTTATTTGGGTTATTACCAAAGTGGCCAGGCCCCAGTTACGAGCATAAAAATCTGTAGGGTATTCCATAATTGAAAGATCCAATTTGTTGAGGATAAGATGTAAATGAGTGGATAAAACTTAAACTCAAGTGTGTGATTTCTTCCATACTTTTGTGCTCATTTTGAAATGTATTTTTGGGTATGGCTTCTTGCATACTAAAAAGTGTCTGCCTCTTTGGTTGGAACATCGGCAAAAACAAAACCAGTGACAAACCTCAGCCCAATTACCATAATCTTGATCTTCCTTTTCCATCTTTTCTACTCAACAAAACTTTCCTCAATGGTAATCATCTTTTTCTTGCTAAAAGTTATAACACTTTAATATTTGTGGGGTTTTAATTATACGGTTACAACCCCACAATTCAGTCCAACTTTGAAATTTCAATTATCCGATTATGGTTGGTGTTTGTGTCTGAACAGGGAAAGAATTAAAATGTTGTTACAAAGCCACCTTGGATGGATTTAGTGCGACTTCATTTCATGAATGCAGTGATTTCAAGGGCCCGTGTGTGATAATCGGCTACACAGACAACTCATTCAAGTTTGGTGCATTCAATCCCGAAGGTTACCGAAGCACTGATGATTACTACGAAACTTTTGATGCGTTCCTCTTTTATTGGCCAGATGAAGAGAAAAATTACCCTATTGTGTTGCCTAAAGTAGGAGGTAGTGGTGCTGCCCTTTTTGATTATGCCCGAGGTGGGCCCCAGTTTGGGGCCGATGGGCTATTGATCGGGCCACCACTTGCGCCTGTCATGGGCGGGTTTGCAGGGCCCGATACAAACTCTGGGATTGGAGATTTGAGGCAGGCGAAGTCGAGATTGGGTTTGTCTTATGCCAAAAGGGAAGATGGAAAAGAGTCCTTGTTTGGAGATGAATCTAGGGCTTCTCTTGAAGAAGTGCTAGTTTTTTGTAGTCCTCAAATTGCAAGCCTATACTAAAAGGATGTGCTTTTAATGCCTTTATATGGTTGTACCTATGCTTTCGAAGTTTGTCCCTTATTAATTTTGTAAATCCATTAGCCCCAAGTTATTATGATTTGCTCGGTGTAGGTACAAGTGGGGGTGAGCTAAAATGCAACATCAGTATCTATTTGTTTCATTGAGGCATAAAAACAAACAATTGCGACACAAAATTAAAGTTGTAAATGATATCATTGAATTTCAATTATGACTTCTGACCCTGTATAACTTATCTTTCCATGAAAATTATAATAATCAAAGCCCACTTGGACTTATTTAGTCTAATATGAGACGAATTAGAAAGCAAACAATATAAATTATCTTATCACTCTTGGGCAAATAACATAGATTGATTGATAGATTAACTTTGAGTAAAATTAAAGATTTGTTGCAATCAAACAAAAACAAAAGAAAGATTGTAATTTTCATATGATAAAAGAAATCTTTAAAAGAGAAACAGTTCTATCCAGGTTTTTTTTTTTTTTTTTTTTGGTGGATTGTATTTGCTTTTCACCAAGAAAGACAACATATAAAGGGCAACTTTTTCAAGAGATGACAAAGCTGATCAGGGGATAAATTATCATTAAACTAATAGTCTAGGGGGTCTAAGTGAAAATATTACCAAAACTTTGATCCCCTCGAAAGGTCACGCAGGTGTGGTTCCAGTTTCTTGATTCAGTCAAAATCCCCCGACTCCTCACCTCCACCTCCGGCCGGCAATGGCTGTTTCGGCCTTCACACCCATCATCCGTGCATCCCCATCTCCATCTTTCACACTATCTACATCGCAATACCAATCGAACTTTATAAGAACAAGAAAAGTCAAACCTGGGGTTTTGACCCAGCAACGATATTTACCCCCGATTGCTGCCCTCTCCGACCCGTTTGTTCTCGAAATTGCAGAATCATTGGAAGACTCTCTTCCATCATCTTCTTCATCAGGTCTTCAAAAGCTGAGAGATTTTGCTTCAGAATCTCTTCTCTCCACTCCATGGCCATCTAGAAAAGACGAGCCTTTTAGGTTCACAGACACTTCTTTCATCAAGCAATCGGAGATCATACCGGTTTCATCTCCAACACCACCTGAATCTTCCAACCATATAAGTGCATTCGAGGATACACAATCGCTCAATTTGACTATAATCGATGGATACATCATTGATTCTTTATCTCAATTATCAGGGTTACCAGATGGGGTGTTTGTTGGAAGCTTATCTAGCCTAAGTTCGAACGAAATAACAAATAGGGTACTCGAATTTTTACCTAGTTCTGAACCAGGAGACTTGTTTTGGTCCCTTAATGGTGTCGGGTCACCTGATTTGGTTGTGGTTTATGTTCAAGAAGGGTGTAAAGTTGAAGGCCCATTGCATTTGAGGTACATTAGTAATGAAGGTAGTGATAAGGAGTCAAAGAAGCTTCCAGTCTCGAATCCAAGGGTTTTAGTGGTGGTTGAGAAAGGAGGAGAGATTGGAATACTCGAAGAATATACAGGTTGTGATGGGGATTTGAGTTATTGGACAAATTCAGTCATGGAAATCGCAATCGGGGAAGAAGCTAAAGTTAGCCATTCATACATCCAGACTCAATCTCTGAACTCTGCCCATATCAAATGGACCTCAATTCGTCAGGTAATCGCTTCATTCCAAATATAATCCATTAAATCTTTGAAAACATTCTTGAAATTGATTATTGTAGGAAAAATCAAGTACATACGAGCTAGTAGAAGTAAGCACAGGTGGAAAGTTAAGCAGACACAATGTCCACGTGCAACAAGTCGGATCAGACACAATAACAGGATTATCAACATTTCATTTATCAGGTAATGATCAAACACAAGATCTACATAGTAAAATAGTGTTGGATCATCCACGAGGGTTTTCTAGACAACTTCACAAGTGCATTGTAGCTCATTCACTTGGACAAGTTGTATTTGATGGGAACATAAAGGTCAACAGGTACTTTCACTTTTTCTTTTCTTTTTTTTCCATTAAGACTATATGGATAAAGTGTTGTTGTCTGGATAACTATAACTGATGTTAAAAAACTATCAGATATGCGCAACAGACAGATGCAGGACAACTGACAAGGAGTCTGATTCTTGAGCCACGTGCAACTGTTAATGTGAAACCGAATCTTCAGATAATTGCTGATGATGTGAAGTGTTCTCATGGAGCTTCAATCTGTGATTTGGAAGAGGATCAACTGTTTTATCTTCAGGCAAGGGGTATTGATAGACAAACAGCTAGGAAGTCACTCATTGTCTCCTTTGGTGCCGAAGTTATAGACAGGTTTCCATCTGCTGATCTAAGAAAGAAGGTTGAGCTTCATGTGAAGAAGTTGCTGGATCCTGTAGTCCCTTCAAAGGTTGCAAGTGGTGTCTGAAATTTGGATTTGAAAAGCAATCGATATGAATATGTATGAAGTTTGTAGTGTTTGATTATGAGGGAGAATGAAGTTTTTGATGTGAAGATTGTAGTGTTTCAATGGCAGGAATGAAGAAACTGTCTGTGATTTTAGCTCTGGTTTAGAGATGCCTTGGAGGCTGGACCAGGGAAACATTACAAACATGAGTTAACTATTATTTTTGTGTGATTTAAAAAGTAAATTAAAGATACTTTTATATTTGCTGTCCTAGAATTTTAAAATGTTCAATATTTTAAATATTTGTTTTACTTGACATTTAAACAGTTCCAAGTAATGATATAGTGCAAAATGCAAATAGTTGTCGATACCAAAATTTCAATACACAGAACAGTTGACTGGTTATTATTCATTAGTGATGTTAAATTTATGTGAGATAATGTGTTATACATTTATACTATTATCGATGTCCAACTGGGTCCAATAAGGCCCATGAAGTCTCTTGGGATGTTTTTAAAACTAGGTTTTTAGAGTATTCGTAAGGGATTTAGGGTGGTACCGTCGGGCCATGGTCCCTTCAATGGGAGGTTGGATAGATTAATGGCAACGGGTTGGTGAATCCATGAGTTATTGTACATGCATGTGATGAATATGAATTCGACTACTGAATATGAATTCGACTACTCAAGACGATAATGAATTTTTTGTTATTTATCACACTCTCATTCAATTAGTTAGATTTCATTTTATGATTTGGTTAGATTTCATTTTATGATTGCTTTGAATTATTTTTTTTAACATGTCATTTTATGAGTT